AATGTTATGTATTCCCCATCTGCAAAGGGCTTAAATGTGCAGTTCAGGTTTTAAACAGCTTAGAATTTTTGAAAAATGTGCCTGACTTAAAAAAAAAACCAAGTGGAAGGGTGCCTTACAAACCATGAAGAAATGATACTTGAATAGATCCAACTTTGCAACACTCACTTCACAGCGCTTCTCCAATCTGGTTTTATCCCACACAGAGTGCTGGCATCTGTTATTACCTCATCTGGTTCAGAACCAGCTGAAAAAACATGTAATTAAATGTTAGTTGTCTTTCAACTATAACTTTTTTGGCCATTTAACTGTGGTAGCAAAGCATGTGAATAATATAAAACAATAAGAAGTCCATAATGAAAATCAGTGGAGCTGGCAAACTCTCTCCTAAAGTTAAATGCCAGGCACGGGTAACACACACAGACTTGTGGTGATACCACACCAGAGTCAGTCATTTTCATGTTTTATTCGTTAATACAGATGGTTTAGGTTGGATTCTCAGCACTGCTAGTCTATATAGCTGGTTATAGCTGGTTGCGTGTATATACAGTGTGGGCATTGCTGTGTTGTTTTCCTGTGTGTCTCTGTGTTGTAGTAGTAGCTGTCCTCAGCTGAACCTGCTCTGCTCCAGCCAGCTGGTCTGAATAAATCAATAAAAACCACTGAGCTGCATTGAGACTTTAGAGTGCTGGTGTCAGTGTCTTTCCCAGAATGCTGCTTTTACAGCGCCTGGAGAAGATCAATACACATAAACACACATGCATGCAAATATACACACTCAAAAGAAAGCTCTTCAACATGTTACAATGAAGGATACGTTTTGTAAGGCCTTCGCGTTTGGATAAACACATAGATGATACTGTATATGTGCTAGTTTACTGTATCTAGAAGATAGTTCATACTTTTGGACTCAAACTCTCACACATCAACCAACTTTTTCAGTGTCAATTCCTTGAATGCCCTCACAATTCACGGCCTATAGTAGAGTTTAGTGCAAGCTGTTTAGAAGCTGAACTGGAAGTAGACAAAGAATGTGGATTATGCAAGGCATGCTATACTCAGTAACCTTCAAAGTTCCTCTGGTCTCTTCCTCCCACTTGCCATCTCTATGGAGTTTGCCGCTGTGCTTTTGTTATCTTTGCATGTTTCCTTTCATGGACACCTGCTAGAGTAGAGGGAAGATCACCAAATCAGTGCTTACCACTGTCTATGTCTCTATCAAGAATATTTTCCAACCTTTACTGGCATGAAAGTTGGAAATATATGTATTTTATAAGAGTGGGACATTTATTCATTTGAGGTTCTTCTGTCCCTTCCATACCCAGTCCCAGCCAACTGCTAACTGTAAGTAAGACTGTCAATAATGCACAATTAAATGTGCCAAAGAATGGGAGAGCATTCATATGGAAGCTCAGTATATCAGTTAAATGGTGTTTACCCATTATTTGGCCCCAAAGAGGGGGGTGTCAGGCCATGCTGTCATAAATCTTCAGAGCCCCACAATAAGCAACACAGTTTTACAGACCTAACCTGTACTTAACAATCCTATCCTAACCCGAGCAAAGGGCAGCTATGTGGCTTGAGACACAGCATCTCCATTGTTGAGCAGTGGCTTCAGGTGCACTCAAGAACCGGACTCAACTATGTATATATAAAGATAGAAATAGATAAATTAATGTATAAAAATAGATAAATAAATGTTCATACTCTCACCACACTCTACACACCTAAACATGCTGGTATTTTTATCATACACTCATTGCCAATATATGGAGTTAAGGTCCATTTCACATAGTGAGAATAAAGTGCTCATAAATTATTGCACATACATTACTGCACATTAATACTGTATTGTATTTGGAGGTTGTGCTTTAAGTTCAATGTTGAAAACTGTGAAAATAATAGTGGATTTTAGGAGGAACCCCCCCACCTTATCTCCGCTCACTATACTCAGCAGCAGTGTTTCATTCGTGGAGTCCTACAAGTTCCTGGACTCTACAATCTCTCAGCACGTGACATCAGCACCATGACCAAGAAGGCATGGCAGAGAATGCACTTCCTGGTCAGATCAGGAAGTTGAACCTGGCTCAGGAGCTGTTGATTCAGATGTACAGTGGCACCACTGAGTCTGCTCTCTGCACAAGGAGGGCAGAGAAGATTTCTGCAGACCCCTCACACCCTGGACACAGACGCTTTGAATGAGTCCCTAAGGATGTTGTGTGCTTCTGCAGGCAACGGGAGGTGAAGATGTCATCCAGGGCAGGTAGCTGTTGGTTTGTGATGTTTTGTGCAGTCTTTATGATTCTCTGCAGGGACCTTTTGTGTGCTGCAGAGCTGCTACCATACCACACCAGGATGGTATGGTATGGTAGCAAAGTGCCTTCCTCTGCTCTTACAGGAGTTTGTTGTCCTGTCGGCTCGGTGTGCTACGTGGCCTACTAGCACAATAGCCTCTGCCAGGATAGTTGGGTTGAGCCATGTCTCCGTCATTATAATAACACACCAGTCTTAGATGTTTTTCTGCATGGATATGGTAAATTCCAGCTCCTTGATCTTGTTGGAAAGTGATCTTGCATTTGTGACGAAGAGGCTAGGCAGTCAGGGCTTGTGTGGGTCTCTGCCTGGGCTAACTTGTATCCTGCCTCAACAGAGCCGCTTCTGTTTCCTCTCTCCAATATGAGGAGTTCTGAGCTGCTGCATGTACATTTGCCACCATCTTACTTGCAGGGAAACCCCAGATTGTCAAACAAAAATAGGATACTAAAGCTGTAAGCAAGACAAAAAGCTGTGGTGAAACTCAGCCGTGGCCATTGGTTCCACAGTGGCCAACTTAACCTCTGCCTTATTGTTATATTTATGCAGCTGATGGCAGATTAACCCTGGATCGGTGAAACAATCATAGACCAGATCATTGAGCTTAACCTTAGTTCTGCCAGTAATGTGATCAGTGAGAGTTTTTTTTTAAGGCAGGTTTCATTAAACCTCATAAACTCTTAAAATCACAGGACTTCAGTGGTTCCCTTAGGTTGGAAAAGCTCTACATCTTTACTCAATTTCAAACCCAGGGCTGGTAGTAGTACTAGACTTCTATAACTGCTGCTCTCCAACATGTCCTATGTGGATCCATGGTTTTATTGAAGTATTTATTTTGTTCTGATATTGATTTCTGTGACACTAAGAATTGAGTACAAATTGGACTGATTACAGAAGAGGAGCAGCCTATACTGAGAGGGAGAATCAAAAGAGACTGAAAGGTGATTAAAACTGTAGATGCTTCCAGTGAAAGGAAGGACAGGCAGACATGGGGGGGAGTGAAAATGCTCTGCATGTGTTTGATTCACTAAAAATGTTGTAAATATAGTGTTGTACACAAACCAACTTATGATCACACCTACTCAGCATCAGAATGACGCAGATATGGGCTAGGAGCTCATCAGTCACACTTACACAGGCTGACACATATATCTTTTCCTTTTTCTGTTTAGTTAAAAATCAACATGTTGGTCAACCTGATAGCTTTCATCAGAGGGAACAGAGTGAAAAGTTAAATGCTTTTGTTTCAGAAAAGGTCAGCATTCATCTTTTTAAAAAAAGGATAATTTAGCTTATTTTATGTTTTGTCAATATTCATATAGTTAGAAATAACCTTTACCCAACTCAGTGGAGCCACTGCACATCATTCCCAATCTTAATTGAAAACATCTTGTAATTTAATAAAAATGGAACTGACTAACGGCTTCATTTTACACAGTTAGTGCTTCACTTTCAAATTGTTTCTATAGTACGAGTGACGTGGTATTTACAGACAATATAAAATTTTTGATTTGTAAAACAACTAAGACAGAGCTAAAATTGCAAACATCAGATACTTTTGTATTTGATATCTGGAGGTAAGCTGCAGTTATAATAAAAACATGACAGAAATCATTAATCTGCTATTTTGTTCCAGAAATATTTTTGTCTCATACATAAAAACCCACTGTTACAGGAATGTGCTTCAGTAGGGTTGTTGCAACAGCACAAAAGTAGTGTGAAAAAAACTGTCTTCAGTTTGTGCTAAAGGAACAATTCATGCCCATGGATGAGTGGAGTTTGAGGTAGGGAACACATAAAGACTCGTGCACATCCATTTATAGCCTATAGATCATTCCGTGCTAACAAGATTAACATCTATAGCTGTTTGAACAAGGAGGCCAGCTAGCCAGGTAAATGTGTGTTTGGACAGGCTGATAGCAGCTGGCTACAGGCCACCACTCTGATCCACTGTTTGTGTATTTCCTTGTTGGCCTTGCATCAGTATGAATATGGCCAGAGTTTTGGGCTGATGTGCAAACATTGTTGGTGAAACACCCAGTACTGAACTGACAGCTTGTCAGCACTTGTGCTGCAACAGAGAATGGCTGGTGATTGGCTGATGAGGGCACTACTTTCCTTGAGTGGAAATTCTTTTTACAAAATGTCATAAGTCTTCAATGCATGTCACTCAGATGTTTTGAGAGCACACCATTTTATTTAGCCTGATCGACAACCAAACAACAGGGTGTCATGATGATAGAAAACAAAGAAACACAAACTAATTTTACCATCTTTGAAGCTATAACCAGTACAGGCCTTGTCTTTGCACTTGACAAGTGACATAAGCAATCAGTTATCAAAATTATATTCACTGCTTGTCCTGTAGAATGACACAGTGTTTGGCACTAGGTTAGAGTACGTACAGTAGATGAGAATGCTCACATTGTTACCCTGTGAGTGTTTGGCATAAACAAATTGCTCATTACTTTGTGGTGGCCCTGCCTTCTATGTACGTTGTTGTTCTCAGTAGCTATACTGAATGATGCCTACAAGGCTTCATTCAGGATAGGTATGCAGAGATATATAACTGAGGACTGAAGTTCTTTTCTTTTTTTTTTAAGTGTCTCTCTTAAGTCAAACCAAGAAAAGTATGTATGCCATGACTAGGAAGTTCTAAACAGAAGGGATTTTCTGTTTTTCTTTAGGTCTGAAGACCTACCTGATCTCAGGGAGGAAGCTCGAGTATGATGGGCAGTGTGGCTATCCTCAGGTGGGACTGACAGGTGGGGATTTTGTAGGGGTGGGCCTGTCCTCCTGTCCTCACCCCCACACGCCAGACCTCATCCCTGGAGGAGCTCAGGCTGCTGAGCCCCTGCTGCCCCGCCAAACACCAGGCAGAATCGGGGTAAGAATAAAGGTGGAGTTCAATCTAACATGCGCTCTGTGCTTCATCTGATGACTGTGCCTTGGAAACTTCTGTATTTTTTGGTGGAAAATGTTGCTCTTCACATCCTGTAACACGCAGAAAACTTTTGCTGTTATAGGTGTAGTCTTCAGATTTCTCTTTATTCATCCACCCGTAGATATTCAGCTTTGACATTATGAATGTTTTTTTAAATATCAGGTGGTGTATGACCTTTTTCATTGCTCCCCAATGTGGCTCACGCAGCCAGTTATTTTGGCTCTGAATCCGTTCATGTTCATTTCTGAGTGAGTTAATTATGGGGAAGGTAATGATGTCAGAGACTACACCCTTTGACTGAAATTAACTCAACTGTCAATCAGTCATATATAAATTGATCATGTTATATTTTGGCTCTGTGTGGTATATCTTTATTTTTTTTTACCACTCTACACACATTTCTTTTCTCTCTCCAGCCTCCCTGTGTGTCTCACAGCGTGGTCTTGTCTTCGGGGGTAGAGCAGAGTGATGATGTGGCTGTGCTGAATGGCTGCCAGGAAGAGTGCAAGACCAGCAGTGCCAAGGTACAACACACATGGCAGCACCAGTGCATTTATCAAGCACACATTTGAGCTTTTGTCAATTAAACTACTCAACAACCATGCCCTGTGCTCCCCTTTCTTCTTCTCTGCCCCCTCCTCCTCCAGTTCATCCCAGGTCACAGCCTCAGGGCGGTCAATGGCCTCCTGAGTCCCCCGCTGGAGGACCCAGTACAGGCCAGCCAGAGCTCCCTGTGTGACATGCTTCAGGAGAAAGAGAAGAAGACTAGCACTAGCACAGGGACTGGCACCAGTCTAGGCATGGCTGGTGGCACAGGGGCAGCTGGCACAGGAATGGACCACTCTGCTCTGATCCAGCTGCGTGCCAAGAACTTCAGACAAAAGAGTGACGAGCACTTTGTGGATGTAATCAGAGAGGACAGGTGAGCAAAGAGGTTAAAGGTAGAATTTATGAACTGGTAATTCTATTCATGGGTGGCACTATGATTGATAATGTATGGTTAGGATGATAGAGCAATGAGTAGTGATGAAGGGACACATTGGGTCATTTCTAAATCTGTATAAATTATATGGCAATGTTTATTCTTTCTTCTACTCAGGGTGTGTATCTGTCCACACACCAGTTGCTGGTCTGTCACAGAGAGAGTACACATCATCAGATAAACAGTATTTGCTCTCACATCATACATACCTATATAATATGGCAGGAAATGCACATGGGCGCAGATATAAACATCGAGATTACACACAGAAAGGCCTTAGGATGCTCTTAAAACAGCAAATGCTTTCCGCAGTCATTTTGATATGATAGAGATAGAACAATAAAATCTAAGAGCATTTTCAGACAGGTCAATATTTTTTTTTCAGTCCAAACAAATCACCAGAGGTTGGAGTAAGTCCCACATGTGCAACTCACAAGCAAGTCTCAGTTGTGCATCTTTTGGACTGCAGTTTTCAGCTGGCTCTCTAAATCTTATTCCAGTGACATTAGGCGTAAACACAACCTGGTGATCTGTGGATGCTGTGCAGAGACTTCTGAACTGTCACCTGATGTACAGAAGGCCCTGCGTCTTGGAATGGTGGCTGCTAAGAAACTCTTGACTTAGAAGTCCATTACTCCACCCAGTTTTGAATACTGGCTAAAGGAAATGTTGTCTCTTATACAAATGGAAAAACTCCGCCTTTACAGACCTCGGTACACTCTACAAATATAAGAGGACATGGGGGCCTTTCCTGGCACAATGCAAACTCATCCCTGGCACATAAAGGCGTGGCTTTGTTTTATTACACAACTGGGCATAGAGTTTCCTTGATATGTCTGGCTGTGTTGCTCAGCTTCACTCTTAAGATATTGTTGCATTAACATTGTAAGAGACAGTTGCAATCAATGTGTCTTCATTTTTAATTGTCTGGCAGCCCCTCCTTATTTTTAGTGCATGCATTGCACTACAAATTACCCAGTTGTGTTTCAAAAAAAAAAAAGTAGCTTCTTAATATCTAGAAAATTGCAAATATTTAATTGAAAGGTGAAGTAATTTCAAGTCATCTGTCTCAAGTCTAAGTTAAGGCTCACATCATGAATACCAAGTCAAAGTCAAGCTGAGTCTTTTACCAGTAATAGTCAAGCAAGTCGCAAGTCCTCAAATGTGTGACTTAAGTCTGACTTGAGTCAATGTCAATATCATGTGACTTGAGTCCCCCTCCTCTGCAAATCACACCAAGGTGGAACAGGAATCAGAGTTCAGTTCAACTCTATTAAACAAGACATCCTAAAAGAAGGTCACAAGAGAAAAAAGGTTGAAAATTCCAAATGTACAAAATCCAGTCTGCAAAGTGTTACTGTCTACTCAAAGACTTTACAATCTGGCACTGATTCAAAAGTGAATGCACTGCAGATTTTGGTGCTTTCTTAAGTAAAGGTTTGTTTTCTTTTAGTAAAATTTGATACCCCACTGACATTCATTATATTATTATCTTACACTGTGTCTTCTTTCTCTGTGGTTCGCAGTCTGATGAAGGACTACTTTTTCAAGCCACCCATCAACAAGATCAGCCTCAATTTTCTAGAGAGACCTCTGGAAAAGGCCTATCGCAGCAGCTACAAGGAGGAGGTACACACACACACGTACACGCCTAGCTTGACTTTTTTCATTAGTGCGCCAGTCACTCTAACAACCTTTGACAACAAACCTCATCGTTGTCATCCTTAAATGAGTTCCTGATAAAGGAGAGACTGGTGAAACATTCAGACTGTAAAGACTTCAAGTCATTTTCCTATCCCTGTCATGATATTTGTTAAGTACAGGAAAAAAAGAGCACTAACAAACCACGGACCTCATAAAAGCAGTATTATTATTGTTATGTATCTAGGGGGTCTTGTCGAGTGTTTTTTGTGTGTGTGCTTGTGAGTGGAGGGTGGAGGGGTTGTTGTAAGTTGTTCCTTGTATCCTTCCCTGTTTTCTAAAGGTTATGCCACATTAGTGTCACACACTCTCACGCACACCCAGGACCAGTTTCAGTTGGCCTGCATTGACCCGACAGGCTCACAGCCCCCTGCTGTTACACCAGTGTTACTACAGAACTGAAGGGAAAAAAACATCATCTCTTAAGTTCACTTCATTTAAAAAATGCTGAAAATGTTAAGTAAAATTAAGTATTATAATGAAAAGCAGGCTACTCATTGCAGAAAAATGTTACTATACTGTTATGTTATACGGCTTCCACGTAGCATATATTCTCTCTGCATTATTTGTGTCCTTGTTGTATTTTTATTTGCTTCCTTCACTTGCTGCTTTAAAGTGCCTTAGATTTGTGATTTTACTGCCTATTTAGATTTGTGTTATTTATCTACTTTATATTTCACTTGTATTGTGTGGCATTCATGTGGACGGCACAGTAAGAATTTCATTGTACAGGGAAACACGTTTCCTACCTGTGCATATGACAAATAAACACTTTTACCTTTGACCTTTATACTGTATATCCTATACTGTTATACTATTAAACATTAGGCATTAACAGCCTGTCACTCATGCCCTGGTGTAAAAGCAGGACTTGGCTGTTGTGGCTGGTTCAGGCGGAGCTCTGCTAAAGTATTTTATATCCAAGTGCAACTACTAATTATTTTCATTAGGGATTAATCTTCTGATTATTTTCTCTATTAATCAATTGACTGGCTTGTAAAACAGTACTGAGAAATGCCATCACGATGCTCTAAACAATTATCAGAATAGTTGCTAATTTACTGTACTGGTGCACAACAGTGTATCTGTACCTTCACTCACACACACATGCACACTCACACACTCCTGTGAGCCAGTGTTCTTTCAAATTGTGCTGCCTTGTCGTAGCAGCCGAGTCTATGGATTCACTGACCCCACCCCCATTCCTTACCTTAAACTCTGTGAGCTGTAGGTTGCACGTCTCGATAGGTGGCATAACTTGACAGACGTTTGTGTGTTTCTGGGGTCAGTTTGGGGTCAGTGTGAGTGCTTTTGTGAACCAGAGATTAGCAAATGATCAGACAATGTGGAAAATGATTTTGATAGTGCATTTTATGACCAACGTTTATACGCTCACACGTTTTATTGTTTGGGATTAATATTATAAATGGGGCACATACTTTAATCTGCATGGAGGAATGGTGTTGTCGTCAAAGGTGTTTGTTTTTAGTAAATAATCCTGTGCTGCTGATTTTAATTTCTTTTTTGGTGGATGGAGTTTGGTGATATCAGCCTCCTTCTCTCTGCCATTTGTCTGCTTTGTGTGTGTGTGTGTGTGTGTGTGGCGCCCGTTGCAGAGTCTGACAGGCAGTAAGACAGCATGTATTGCGTTTTTTTTCCCCCCATCAATACTGGTGTATGGATATGATAACCATCAATTTTCAAACCATGGTATACTGTGAAACCATTATGCTGCTGCAACTCTAGCTGAATATGAATGATACAGTGAGAATGATGCTTGACTCTTCAGCGTGAAACCCTTCATACACAAATCCTGCTGTTCATAAACTGTACATTAACCCATATGTGCTTGCAGGCACACAGTACACACACTGCTACATGGACAAGTGGATATTTGGAGTCTATTGTCATATTTGGCTTTTTTGTTGTTGTTCTTAATGTACTTGGCAGTCACTCTGTGTTACATGTGTGACGGTTTTTTTAATGGACTTGTTTGCATTGCCTGTCTAAACACTGTAGTTATATCAAAGTAAATGCAAATACTGAGGGAAATATGCACATGGATGCATTTAAGGTGTAAGCATGAAACAGAGCCACTGCTTTGTTTCAGTTTCACATCCCTCTTCCCCTTCAGGTGAAAAACCGGGTTCATGTGCAGACATTTGCAGGCTCCACCTTCAGCTCCCTCCTGGATGTTCTCCTCGGCGGTTTTGTCTTCCTGGCCCTGTCTCTGGCCTGCTTCCTTCCACCTCTGGTGAGCCCGTCTACTCTGGGCTTTCCAGCTCCGCCTGCCCTGATTCTGGCTCCCCTGGTTTTTTTGTTGGAGCTGGGCTCTGTGGTGCTGTCCATACGGTGAGGCTTAGGTAGATGACATGCAAACGGACACACATATGTTGTGTATTAAAAAAGGTTTTGACAAATATGGGTTTTTAAGTCTATTAAAATGTTTATATGACCTAAACATTGTGCCTCAAACATTGACCATTTTATAAAACAAAATGACTCAATGGTTTCCACAGATTATTTTTTTCCTGGCAGGACGGAAAAGCCTCTGTCATTTAGGCTATTGTTGTCAGTGTGGTGCCATCCGGGCCTAAGAATATGCAAGTGTTTGTTTCCAAACCGACTGCTGTAGTGTGTGGTTGGAATAAAAGCCTGTATCTCTTGGGTCACAGTGGCACAGGCTTGAAAACCACTAATAGAACATTGTGTAGCACTAAAACTCTCCACAGAAACCAAAGCAAATAATTTTATGTGTTGGTTGGCTCCCACACCACACTGGATTAACTTGATTGGTCAAAATCAACTGGTTCATCTCCAGCTCTTTGTGAAAGGCCAGTACTGGCTCAGACCCTGGCACAGTGACATATAGTACTTGTACCAGGTAGGGTTCCAACCCTAAAAAAACATTTTTAGTTGGATCTCACAGCACTAAAGTGTGCTAAAGATGTGTTTTATTTATTTTGTGGTGTGTTTTCATGGGTGTGCATGCATCTTAGTGGAGAGTTTTTAGGAATTAATTTTCACTCATAGCAATGCATAAATAGGCAATAAATCTTCATCTTCTTGCTGGGAATTGGACAGCATAATTGTAGTTTAATAATTTGTCTTAATTAAGGATTGATGAGAGTCAGCTGCAGTTTTTCTCTGCCTGTGTAGGAAAAGAACAGGGGGAGAGAAAATATGCTGCTGGAAACTCACCCTTTGTTGTCTCCTCCTAACACGTTGTCTTCCTTTCCTCTCCTCCTCTCTTGTTTCCTCTCCTCTTCTGCAGTATGGCCTTCTATCTGGAGGAGGTGATGAACTGTACTCACTCCCTGCTCCTTGTCATCTCTGGCTGGGTCCCCCGTCATGTGATTGGGGCCGTGCTAGTCTCCCTCCCCGCCATCTCTGTCTTGTCCCATTTTACTGGCAGTGTCCAGCTGCCCTTCCAGGTAAATGTGTGGATTGGGTGGTGGGGGTAAAACCAAAAAAGACTGTGTGGATGAATGATTAAAAATGTAGACACTGTGCTATATGATGGGGCTCCGAGAATCTGTGTCGGATCGGTGTGTTAAGGATCTTGCACCAGACAAGCTTCATATCACACTGTTGCATTGTTGCACACTGCAGCTTGGTTAATGACTGCTTAGATGTCCAATGTGGTCCTGAACAATTAGCTGAATAATGGTGTAGTCACTAAGGAGACTTAACAACAACTTTGAACCAGTACTAACTGTCTCTACTACACTTGCTGCTGCACAACATACATCACTGCTTCCTGCCAGTATTTAACACTATTGCTGCTTCAGCTGCTGCCAGCACTATAGCCAAGGCCAACTTCACTGTCAGCATTTGTACAAGTACTGCAAGTGAATAAACTACTGCTCCTACTCTGAGAACTATGCTACCTCTGTGGTTACAGAGGCTACAGCTAATAGTGGCAGTGGTCATACATTACTTATGATTTCTAAGTTGTTTGCCCTCACCCCTGAGCCAAAGTAAGCAGAGAGGAGTCAGCTGTCTTTGGCCATCTGAAGCCAAAAATTCTCTGAGACCAGCACGAGCTGTTAGCTGGCATTAGCACTGATAGCAACTATAGAAGGAAAACAGCTAGGACGGTTCAGGAGGCTTTGCTTGTGGAGCTTGGCACTAGAAATTTCTTCTTCTCTGAGCCCTGCATGTGAGAAGATTGATAGCAGCCATGCTTTGCAGTGTTTTGTGTTGTTTTGAGTCAAGGACATATCCAGCTTTGTATGAGTTTGACTCCTGCCTTCCAACTTCGAGCCAACGGCTGCTTGCAAGATGTGCGCTGTTTTGATATCTTGTTTTTCAAGGATTTTCAACACCCCATTTCTCCCACCCCACTCTGTCTTTATCCTCCCCTCTCTCCATCTCCTCAGGGCTCGCATATTCAAAGCAGCAGTCCCGGGGAGAGTTGTTAATTAGACATGTAGTTTTCTGGACTTTAACACCTTTGAAGATCTTAAGACAAAATAACTGTGTTAAAGGGGGGGCACTGAGAGAGAAGGAGGACGGGTAGGGATGATAGGGAAAAACATATTATCCTGTCAATGTAATCATTAACAACTGTCCCCAGATGACTACTCCTGTCTGTGTGTGTGCTTGCATGAACAGATCCATGTGTCAAATCCGATCCCTGTTTCTGACCTTAATTTATCAAGCTTAGTCTTTGTCCTCTGGGGTTCATAGTTGGTTTACATTGGATTTGACCTTTAGAGTTTGAGACCCATTGATTTATATGCAAAGAAATGACAGTGGAAAAGTGATATTCCAGTCCCTAATTAATTATAGCTCCAGCTTACTGTATATTACTTGTAACCAGTGCTGTTATCTCTAATGAAATAAAATAAAAATGAGTCTCAGTTGTTAATAATATGTAATTAAGCCAGGGGTTTTCAACCAGTGGTCCATGCCCCCCCCGGTGGTCCCTGTCAATAATGTAGCTTTACTGAATCTTTTTTTAAAACATGTATTACTTATTATTTGTGAATAATCAAATGTTTGGAAATATATAATATTTCAAAAAGATAAGTTGACTTTCAGGATTAAAATAGTGCCAGTCTGTCTGTCCCACAATAGTCCTCAAGTTAATTCTTAGCCAGAATGGTGGTCCCTGGATCACAATTAGTTGAAAACCCCTGAACTAAACCATACATAGCCATGGTTAAAAACATTCAGATTGAGAGATGAGACTAAAATAAATCTGGTTAATCACTACTCTGAAGTTACCAGGACCTTGATAACTAAATATTGGTAGAATGTGGACAAAAGCAATCTCTTCAGAAACTACTGTTTGTGCCATTTTATACATGCTCGAACTGTAAAATGCTAAAGGTTTTTAAAGGGAAAACATCATATGGGGTATCAGCCTACAGACTGACTGTGCACATGCAGGGCAGAGGTTGTGGTTTACACTGGCGTGAAAGAAGTAATTTGAGGTCTTTAATTGTTTTAGACCGAACATGCAGATTGTACAGCTGAAGTTATAACACTGCTTATCACATGTTTTTTTTATAGCAGATGACACAGTTGGACACAAAGAGAATTTAAAGTTTTAAAGTAAGACATAATGGTAGTTCACATTGACTAAAGCAGTGGAGAACTCTGGTTATTGGGCCCTTTGTTTCCTTGTTAAGTCAGTTTAACGACTAGCCTGTTTTGTCCAGGTGACCATGTTGCTGTGCTGTGCCACCATCCTGGCCATCATCCAGTATTGTAACTTCTCTCAGCTGAGTTTCTGGATGCGCTCAGTCCTGGCCACTGCTACAGGGGTTGCCCTGCTGCTGTTGCTGTACAGCACCTTACACAGGTACCGATGTGCATGTTATCTGCACATACACACAAATGCCAGTGCAAATATATGGTACACACATGCAAGTCAATAAATGCATGGGGGTGTATACACACATACACACACAGCTCTACTGTACATATTATGCACTCAGTGTGGCATCTCACATTTCATTTAAGACTTGTAAGCCAGTCTGAGTTCTACTACATTCATTCAAGTGAAATGTGATCAATGTGCCGTCTAGTATCTAAGAAATCATTGTAGGCCAAAGTAGTAATATTAGGTGACAGCTATTTATATATACACTATATTGCAAAAAGGAACTCTTAATGCCTCAGCATACCAAGACATTTTGGACAATTTCATGCTCTCAACTTTGTGGGAACAGTTTGGGGATGGCCCGTTCCTGTTACAACATGACTGCACACCAGTGCACAAAGCAAGGTCCATAAAGACATGTATGGGTGAGTTTGGTATGGAAGAACTTGACTGGCCTGCACAGAGTCCTGACCTCAACCTGATAAAACACCTTTGGGATGAATTAGAGCGGAGACTGCGATCCAGGCCTTCTCGTCCAACATCAGTGTCTGACCTCACAAATGCGCTTGTGGAAGAATGGTCAAAAATTCCCATTAACACACTCCTAAACCTTGTGGACAGCCTTCCCAGAAGAGTTGAAGCTGTTATAGCTGCAAAGGATGGGCCAACATCATATTAAACCCTATGGGCTAAGAATCTGTTGTTGCTCAAGTTTATTTGCATGTGAAGGCAGACGAGCGAATACTTTTGGCAATATAGTGTATGTGTGAAAGCCAAAATCTTCTTGAAAATTGCACAAGTGGGTTTTAAGAAGAAATTTGTTCCTAAGAATGCTTGGTGAATGAGGCCCACTGTTAAAATTTACCTGGTTGGTTTGCAACTGCTGTACATACAGTCCCTCTACCTGCCTGTTCCTCAGCCCATAAAGAGGATTTAATCTGATCTGTGTAATATGTGTGTATTTGTGTTTCTGTGTGTACATGACCATTCCTCTCTCCATACTGACACCACTTTTGTCTTTTTCAGCTCCGGTAATAACAGCTTTCCAGTTCATGGGTGAGTGTCTCTGTGGAAACAGAGGTGTTTGATGGATGAGTGACATTTTAAGGTTCAATAGGAGAGGCGTCTCTTTTTTTTATATTTTTCATATTTGTGGTGCTCTCTGGCTTTTACTCATTCTCATACTTTCCTGCACTTTATTCTCCTATCCTTCTCTCTCTCCCTGTGTGCACCAGTAGTAATGACTGCTAAATATCACTAGTGGTGGAAATGACTCATACAGCATGTGCTAGCTGGGATCTTGTATGAGAGCCACAAGTTAACTAACTACACTACTGAGGAGAGGAGAGGGTGTCATTCTTTGGTTGTTTCTTTTAAAGGCATTCAGCACATAACGCCTGTCATCAGATATAGTCAGTTGTTTATACTTCTCAGTTGCCTTTTTAGTTACATGCTGTTAAAAGAATTCAAGAGCCAAACTGAGAATCCTACATTCTCCATGTTTTTTTCCCATTCAGTGATGGATCATTGAGACAGCAGTGCCCAGAGTTTGTGACACAGTTAAAGCACACCACGTTCATAGACTATAGCAGTGTTAAATTGTTAAGAAAATGCATTTGAGCACACTGTTGTCCTAAAGACATCACTTCTATGTACATTTGTGTTAATTACAAATGCTATTAGTAATTAGCTTGGGGTGATATTTAGATTACCATATGTACAGTACATTGTTGGGAGTACACCTACAGGTCGATATTTAGATTACCATATGTACATTGTTGGGAGTACACCTACAGGTCAAAAAAGGGCATCTTTATCATGCACTGCATTGTAGAAGAGGCACATTTTGATATGTCAGTGGAATAAGTCTGCCTTTCATTTTCTGGCTCAGATTGAACATCTCTGCATCGAGTGATGATGGCTCAGAATCTGGCCGTGACTCTCCTCCACGACCTTTTGACCTTTTGGTCCCAGAGGCTGTTCTGGCCTTCTTTTTGCTTCTTCTCCTGGTCTGGTTTCTCAACCGTGAGTTTGAAGTAAGTTACCGTCTTCATTACCATGGCAATGTGGAGGCTGACAAACATCGCGCCAAGATCCAAACGATGCGAGACCAGGCCGAGTGGTTACTAGGCAACATCATCCCCATCCACGTCGCCGACCAGCTCAAGGTTTTTCCTATTAGACTTATCATAATTATGAATATTATCAGAAGAGTGATTAATACATAAATGTACTTTTTTGTTTTGTAATTCAGAAAATAAGATTTAAGAAAAATTCACAAATACAGTTTTCCTAGTATTCTTGAATGCAGGAGATTAAAGATGAGAATCGTAGCTGCTGTATTACTACTATTCACAACCATCTAGTTTTGAGGAGAAAACAGAAACATAGTAATAAACACATTCAATATATACTCATTCAAGTGTTCTAAGTAATTCAGCGCATTTTATATTGGCTCATCTTGTGTTATTGTTTCCTCAGGTGACCCAGAGCTATTCCAAGAACCACGACAGTGTGGGGGTGATCTTTGCCAGTATTGTAAACTTCAGTGAGTTCTATGAAGAAAGCTATGAGGGTGGAAAGGAGTGCTATCGCGTCCTTAATGAGCTCATTGGAGACTTTGATGAGCTCCTTCGCGAACCTGAATTCAAAAGTGTGGAAAAAATCAAGACAATCGGTGCCACCTACATGGCAGCGTCGGGACTGAATGTCCAGCAGCTGGCTGAGAACGAAGATGACTCTCCACACGCTCACTTGAGGGCACTTTTCAACTTTGCCCTGGAGATGATGGGTGTCCTGGATGACTTCAACAAGAATATGTTAGGTTTTGGTTTCAAGCTCCGTATTGGATTTAATCACGGACCGTTGACGGCGGGGGTGATTGGCACCACTAAGCTGCTCTATGACATCTGGGGAGACACAGTCAACATTGCTAGCCGCATGGACTCCACTGGGGTGGAGTGTCGAGTGCAGGTGAGCGAGGAGAGTCACACTGTGCTCAGCGCCATGGGTCTAGAGTTTGACTACAGAGGTACTGTGAATGTTAAGGGCAAAGGTCAAATGAGGACCTTTCTCTACCCCAAAAGTGGGGAAATTATATGTCAAGATTGCGTGGAGCAAGCTGTTGGAGTTGGACCCTCATCTGTGGCATTAACAGCCAATAAAACTTCACAATCTGTTGCCCAAGCAGCAGCTCTTCCTCCCGCTTCTTCTCCCACTCCTCCTCCCTCCTCTCTTGTCACACAAGCCCAAAGTGCTGTACGGCTGCCAGGAACAGGGCTTGAGCCTGTCCTGGCTAAGTCCACAGAGGTGAGGGAAGAAGGATATAGGGACGCTCCACACCTCCATGGGCAGTCCCTTTCCTCAGACAATCACACCCCTCTCCACTCTGAGCTAGGCCAAGAATCTAGTGATGCACATTTGCCCCCCCAGGTGCACCCTGCTCCTCATGCACTTCGAGAGGAGGAGGATGAAGAGGAGGAGACCAATGAGCTAACAAAACTCAACGAGGAGTTTTATGCTCGTCTCTGATCCCTCCTGTCCCCCTGTAGCCCCAAGCTCCTGCCTCTCCAGAACTGATTGCACGTGAGGGCAGTGTGCCACTTCCTTTGGGCAAGTGTCTTTGGCGTTGATGAAGAAGAGAGAGTTTCTCACTCCACCACAAACAGTGGCTACAGAGTTCTGGGGTGCTGGACCTGTATTAAGCGCAGCAGTTTCTAATGGAAAGGCTGAAAAGGGGGTTAAAGGGAAAATAAGATTTGATGGTGTTGTTGATGTTTTTCTTATTCTTTTTTGTTATTAAGTGCCTTCAGGACTAGAACAGTGAACGAAGAAATATGAATACTGAACAAAGTTTTAACAATCTTAGACTAGAAATATGCTGTGGTTTCTTACTCTGTGCTTTTATTTTCAGTGCAAGTATTTCTTTAAACAAATCATTATTGTTGTGCCATATTGTTTGTTTTAACTTGATCAAAGTCTTGACCTTAGTTAAGGGAAAATAATTTTAAGATATATATAAGTGCCAGTGCAACATGATGGGCTGAGCAGGGAACTATGGGAAGAACGAGGGATTCACATGAATCAGTATTAATTTATGTATTCTGCGTTCACATGAGGATTTAATACAGTATTCATCTGTGCTTGAGTCTCAGTAAAAGGAGACATGCTACAAAGCAGGCTGCATAGATTTTAGTAAGTGTAGCAGTTAAATGCCCATTAAAGCATGAGTCTTGCACAGTGTTTTTCTCAACCACTTATATTAGGTATTACCGTGGAAAAAAAAAGTTTAAACAGAGTTCTTGTCTGTCACAATAAGTACAATCAAAAGCACAAAATTAGATCAGATAAGGGAATATTGATTTGTAAGAAGGGCTGGCTTTAAAATGTTAGATCATAGCAAAAGCAGGAAGGCACTTTAAATATACTTAGAATGATAGCCTACACAATATTTGTCTTTTGAGTATGAAACTCATTTCCTGTAGACCTGAAAGGTGGCTGTAAAGATGTAATTTTCTTCTAAAAATGCATATGCTGACTGTGATCACTAATTAAAGTATGCTGATTAAACTGGATCCCATTGCAACTTCTCACACCAATGCCTCACCATAATCTTCTTTCCTGTTGTCAAATTTCCACTAAAGTATTGTTAAATACTGGGGTCCAGTCTCAGGCTTTTAGCATGACCCAGATTTTGTATCAGGTCAGAACATTAGAGGTGTCTCATTGGCTGGACTGAAAGCAATTAAATATTTTACACTCACCTTTAGGGAATACGGATATTCTGTATTTTTGTTATTACCAGCAAATCCCATGAAAAGACCAAAACCAGTCCATCTCTCAGCCCAAATTTTAGTATTATTTTGGGTATTCTGTATTTTTATTACAACATACAGCAGAGTGATGACAAGAAGCAAGCAGAGAGAGGCAGAATGAAATGCTACAAAGGCCCCACATGTGAACCAGGGACATTTCAGTTTGTGGTAAGCAACTTGACACCTAGGGCACTGTAGTTTTTGGTAGATATTACTCAAATAGCAGTAAATAGTGCATTTGTTGGTGACTTTCCAGTGGCAACAGGGCTGTGCATGTGGGGCTGATTTATTTAAAAATAATCCATAGTGCCCATGTTCAGTGTAATGAAGGGAGCCAATGCAACAGTGTGGCTCGCTGATGTGCAGTTAATAATGCAAAAAACAATGGAACTTGATAGCACAAAGGAATAAAACTTATCAGGCTTTGGCCACACAGACAGCACTCTTTAATAGGATCAATTCATGTAGGCTGCAATGGATTGGCGACCTGTCCAGGGTTCACCCCGCCTTTGCCCGATTGCCGGCCGCCCGTGACCCCGTTCAGGGACAAAGCGGTAGAAAATGAATGAATGAATGAATTCATGTAGGTCTTTTCATGGGCTTTGTACACAATAAGAAAACGAATATCAACCACATTTCTCCTCACAAGTCTACAAGGGTGTGAGAGTTTGACACTCAAATGATTTTTGGCGGAGTATCTCTTTAAGCGGGATTGTCAGGGCAATCACTGTATTTCTTGATAGCTGATTGGATGGTCCACACTGATTTAAGTGTCAAAGCACAGCTACAGTTTCTACAGCACTGCGTGTAAAACCACAGACTCAGATTTAGTAACGTTCCATTCGTTGTCTTCATCATCATAAATAAAAACAAACATTGGTCAGTCTGTCACTACAGATTTATTTAGAACTTAAGTATTGTCTGCCTTTAGGTGTGTGATTTGCTGTTGAATAAGTGGGATTTGATTTTGGTCCTGTCACGGCCTCTTCACTGAGGGGAGCCTCTACTGTATTGATATACGTAAATTGTGCCACTTTAATTGAGTGATCTATAGGTGCAGTGCAACCTGATCTAGCTGATTGTTTTGTTGTGCCTAAAGGTATGGCTGTATGTTTTCGAGTATTTTGGGTTTCAGAAAGTTTTTTTTAATCATGCTGTTGTCATAAGGAGGATAGATTATGGTTGTCTGTTTGAGGAAAATATGCTGCATTTTTTTTCTTTTCCAGTTATTTTAATGTCATTGACTGTTTGCTTATAATACTGTGGTGGTGTTCCATGGAGTAGTTGCCACCTCTGCACTTCTCTTTGCTCTTTACTCACTTCATGCTTTGTTTATACTCCTGAGAGCACTTGTTTCCTCCTTATACTTTGTGTGTTTGTGTGTGTGTGTGAGACAGAGAGAGAAAGATATTTAAGATCTACTCAAAGTCAATAAAGCAGAAAAGAGTGAGTTGCACAAAGCAACATTCTTTAAAATGGAGGGAAGTAGCTCAGAGGTTTGAGATCTGCAAATACATAATGCCACATCTTTTAGAGACAGGTCAACATGTGGGCAAAGGAATTTTGCCTTATGATGCTGTTGCTACACAGATACAAGATGTCACAAAAAATGAGGAACAATCTCCATTTATGTAGCTGTCTACATATGTAGCATGAAAAGCATATTTGTTTACCTCTGCCATTGTGCACTCCAAACAAACACAATCAGTGCCTTTTGAATCAGGAATATGTTTCATTACTGTGTATGAGCGGTGATTATTTATATCAAATAATCATGAAAACCCTAGTAGCATAAATAAATAACACTGAAAATCCAAAGAAGCTGTCGCTATACAGTAGATTGAGACATGAGGTGAGAAATTCTTTGTTGGCCAAAATCTTTAACATTGTTTTAAAATGATCTAGTTGTACTCTTGTACATATTCTAACCTAACAAACTGTAGAACACACAGTTATGGAAACAGAAGAGTGTATAAGGTGTCAGCTGTGACGGAAAGTTGTTATTTTTTTCCTCACTTTTTCAAAGTTCCCCTTCTGCCTCATGTCGGTCGATAATCTTCTGTGACTTCAAGCCATGTTGCTATAGTCCTAACGAGCAGAGAAACTATCCATAGCAGATTAGAGGTGTGGGACTCCATGGGAGGATGGGCACACCAGCTCTCCAGTAGCACACATCTGTACATGTGTAAATAAAATATTCAAGTGAACCCTGCTGACTCTGTGATCTGTGATAAAGTTGGAGATGAAGCATGTGTGATCAGATTTGCATGGGAATGAATGAACTCTTTTTCTCTTTTCCAGAGACACTACATTCTTGGATTGATTCTGCACTATAGTCTTTTTTTCCCATTTCAGCATCGTTCTTTTCACACTAATGTTGAACATTAAGTATTTGTTGCCAATATGCAGGATCTGTCAAATCAATAAGCTTCGCTCAGTTATGGTTATTTGGATTTCTGACAGTGCATTGATAGATGATGTATGCATGACATGCTTTGTTTTTAGTTTTGGCAGATGTAAAGAAGAAGTCCAGTGCAATCAAGAAAACAGCTGAGTGCACTGAGGAGAAGTCCATTCGGTCATCCCTTTTTATTGAAGCGTGACTCTGCTGTGTGACAGAAACATAAGGGAGAGGCATAAAGGGACTGTTTTATTAGCGCTTGTTTAAAGTATCACAGCAAATTAGCATTGCCTAATCATTCATTTAAACAGTGACAACTCTGCATCTTTTCATTATAAATTTTCAAGTAAATTCAACCCGTATGCATTTTTAGTTACACTGGGACAAAAATTATACAGAGCTGTTTGTTTTTAAAATCTTTGTGTATTTTGCTCTTCATGAATGAGATGTATTATGTATGTTTTGTGCACATTACTCATGTCATTTATCAACACAATTATAATCTGTACACATTTGCACAAGGCACTCTGTGTTTGTACATATGCAGTTATTTTATGTCACATATAAATTTTTTTATACGTGTCAGATATTGCCAAAAACAATGAAAAGAGACACATTATCAAACTGATTCAACGTGTGTCTGTTTGAGTAAGTGTGAGTGTTATGATTGTATTACTCTTTTTCAGTATGAGAGAAATAAATTTCAAAACAGACAACAGAGTTCACTGTGAAGTATAAAGTGAAGATGGGTTTATGCAAAAAAAAATAAATAAAAAAAATAAAATAAAAATTTGAGGTGTGATTCAGCGATTCAAGAGTCGGGAACCAGGCTATATGCATATTGTGGCCAAATTTTAGGAAAGCTTGTCAATATCCACATGGTCCCAGCACTGCCAAGAGGGTGGATGTCTTTTTGATTCAACTAGATAATGACTAAAGGGATATACAGTATATTTTACTAAATAGGCACTGTCAGAAAAACTCATATACATTAATAATTTGCTATAGGTATGTATAGTTTTTCACACCATGATAGTAAATGAAAGATAAGATAGGCATCAAAAATAGCACGTATCAGTACTATGTGACCAAAAAGCATTTTTTTTTTTTACATTTTTGTGGTAGCTGTAATCAACTGCTGGTAGAACTGATACACACCCTATTCTTAATGTAGAATATTCTTATATTCTATTAAAGAATATATTTTGCAATAACTTGTTCTGATATAGTGATGAGTCTAGGTTAACATTTTTAAATTAAAGACAGGTAACCCTATCATCATGACTGTGTTTCTAAAGTGTGTCAGGAATGTATTAAATTTAATATTATAATTAATTTAACACTTTTTCTATTAAAATACAGAAAATGCAGTGCACTGATCCTTAGTTTATATGCAGATTTATAATAATTTAATTTAAATTTAAATTAGCATTTTTTTGCTCGATTGTCAATATTGATATTTTATTTTACTTATAATTTAATGATAATGTTCATGGAATAATTTCAAAGAATAGGCTATTTCACACATGTATTATCTGTCTTGCTGGTATGTCAATGGCGGTGCTGCAGCGCCCCCAGTGGTTGACAATAGCGGTGTTTTCACGTAGGGCGTGATTGCGCGGCCCCTCCCCCTCCACAGCCGATCTGGAAAACGAAAAAAAAACTTTTTGTATCGAAGGAATCAACAGCCGCCATCTTGTCGTGGCTCAGAATTAGGATTTCGGTCCAACACTGGTTTTTACGTAGAAATCTAGCATCCTTACCGCGATATGACAGCGTCCTACACCCGAAAACGAAATCTTAATATCACCTCGGAGACATTTTGTGCGAAAAAACGGGAACTGGATCGGTGGTCGTCGGGCAGAAAAGCTCCGTATATCTGATTTCCCCTTCAGAGTGCGGCGATTCAGCTCCTGTCGCCGTTCGGGAGCAGCATTGTTTACCGTGGGCAAGCAAAGACCAGATCGTGACTTTCGAAGTGATTTGCAAATAATACAGCATTTTTATGCAATTGTGCGTTTTTGTGGAGCTTCGCGCGAATTTTGCATGAAGAAATTTGACGTCCCGCAAAATGGGTACTTTGAACATCTAGAAATTACGACTTTTCCCCCGGAATGCAGCAATCCACCTGATTTTATAGGATTGTCATTTTGAAGCTCGATTTTTACATGGGGAATATTTTATTTTGAGCTATTTAACGATAATAATGTGGGTGTTGGGTGTTGGATTATCATGGGGTGAATGGCGGTGGCGAAGCGGGGCGCTATTGCATCTCTTTTAAAAGACATTGACTCTCACAGCACGGAGTTGCTAACGCTAACAGTTAACTGGTAGCAGGCAATTAGCTAGCTATTAGCCAGTTAGCTAACGTTAGCGGGCTACCCGCTTGCTAATGTGCTAACCGGGAGTGTTCGGGTTGAAAGAACAGCTTAACAATCACAACGTTATCATAATTATCAACTTGAGCAATCCGCCGGACAAGATAGCGGCAATGGCTGAAAACCTGCTGGACGTCGGACCTCCCAACTCTAAGCGGCCGAAGCTGAATTCACCTGCCCTGTCGGCGTCCGATGGACAAGGTAAAGGCCTCAACACTGTCTATACTTGTAAACACCAGTATTATTCAGACTCGTACTTAACAGACCTTTGCCACGTCGGTTTTTAGATCCACTGACCACCCATGCAGCACAGTTTAAAGTTATCAGATCAGCTGGGTCTGCGGAGCTGTCTGATGGTAGTAGTTCAACGATGTCGTGGCTATAGTGCATTTACTGCAGTGTTGTGGTTTAGTTCTCTGGTGAACACGTAATTGCAAGGACCTGCCCTGCACACTCAAATGCTAGTTTATTATGTGCACTGGTCTTGTGTTAATGCAGTCTAAGACAGTTCTGCACTCTCCCGCAGCTAGATCTACCTCTGTGAGGTATGTTGCAAATTAGTCCAACGGCAGTACTAGCTACAGCCCGCAAAATGACCACACAGTTAAAAACGGTGTATCGTGAAAACAGTTTAAGCAAAAACGGAACATTATTGCCAGATTTCTTGCAGGACTGTTGCACTGGACTGGTTAGGTTTTCACAAAGCGTACATCATTGGCAACATAGCATATGCAAGAGCATTTTTTACATGTAAGAAACACTTAAAAACTGCATGAAAGCTTGCAGTGAACAGCTCTGTGTAGGAAGTTGCAATGTTGCTGATAATGATTAATCATCGGAGCATCCAGCATAGCAAGACTGGTGTCCTTTATGGTTGTCTGGCGCATGCATAACAGCAGGTGATACTGGCATGATGAAGACAAAGTGATATATATTTTATTAGATATAATATATAATATGATACATGACTATCAAATATAGTAGATTCCAGGCTGGCCTTGCTAAAACTGTTCCCTTCATTTATTGCATTCAGTGTTCAGGCCTGAGTTAATCTGGTTTTGATTTTGGAGTCCCTTCACCTACCAAGTATAAAGTTTAGCAGAGGTAAATCAACAGTGACCCAAAGGCTGAACCCACAGTACAGGGTAATTAGCCCAATTTAGGGCCCAATTTACCATTCACCACAAGCGTGGGGGCATTCCTCGACATGGGGTTGTTCCGAATCGATTCTTGGGCCAAATGATCCTGTAGTGTGAGGTGTTTAAATACCTAATCATTATACCTCTAACAAGATTAGAGAGCCCCAGATCTTGAATTGTAAGTATCAAGCATGTCTGATATTTATGACTTGGAATCCTGCAGTGTGTGGCCAACAGCGATTGAATCCTGAGCAGACATCTGTAACAGCCAATGACAGCGAGTTGGCCGGAAAGCATCACAACCACGCGTTAACATTTAGCTTGTAGCATTAGCCTGCACTAGCCTCCAAGTTTGAGTAATCCAATCTTATTTACAACTCACCTGCAGTTCGTGCTGCAAAATGTGTTAAGAGCCGTGTTAATTTCTTCTTCGCAGCCAAGACATCATTCAGAATCTCCCCCTCCCCCCCCCCCCTCTTTTTTTTTTTTTTCTCTTCTTGAGCACAGCACCACTACCCCTTGACTAATCTCTGCCTCCATGTTTGTTTTGTTCTGAAGTTACATTTGATCATGCGAGTTTCCGTAAGATCTCTGGTCCCCGGAATCTGCTTCTCTGAAATCATTCAGTAAAAACTGCAAGTGTGTGGTCCTGCCTTTTGACTGAATAATCTGGTGTCTGTACTCTTAAAATTAAAATGTGAAAGAATCTGTTAACGCTGTCGTTATGTCTGTGGTCTCACGTTTTTAAAATCGGTTAAGTTTGTAAAATCCTCAAGTGTGGGCCCAGCCTAAGCACGCATATGAACTCACAGACCAATCCGAATGGCACTGAACTGCCTTGATTGTCAGGATGGGCATTTCAGTTTTGAGTGCTGTCCATGCATCCGTGGTCAGAGAAAACTTTTCAGTACTTGTCAAACAACTGTGCAGCTCACATGAATTATCCAGTTGTGCTGTTATCATTTTTCTTGATGGCTGTAGTCTCTGCATGTTACTGCTGTTTGTATTTGGTGTCGTATTAAAATGATATACTGACCTCTTTATTGCGTTATTTCCAGTCGCCGATAAAAGCAAGGGAAAACAGTGGCTCTGTTTTTAAAGACGAACCCATAGTCGGGTGAATTTTTTATTTTTTATTTTTTTATTTTAATGACTCCGAATATTTGAAAATCATTGCCCATCCCTCTTAGATTGTGTAATACTCGGTGACATTCTTAACATTTTCATCGATGAGCTCTGAGTAGAGCATGCAAGAAGCAGGGCAATAACATGATAATGGGGCCAGTTTGTAATTTGGCCATAAACAACAAGTCTCTTGCTGTACTTTAAATTTTTGTAATAATTCTGGCGGCGGATCTTAACGGCAGATGTTCCCATGTTCTTGTTGCTTTTCCAGTTACATGGTTTCATTTGGTGTCTTCATTATAAATGACTATTTTTCTTCACCATTGGATGGTTGTATTCTTCTGGTTTTGCACCAGTCACATGATAGACCACCACTGACATGCCCACTACCTCAGTGTGAATACCTGGCACTATACACTACTGTATTCTCACAAGGGATCACTCAGACATAATATAGACTTGGTACCAGGGAGCTCCACTTAGTCTTGGGCCAACTGACTCTGACATTTACGTTCTCACAGACTGCTCATTTTGGGTAATGGCTAGAGAATTTCAGCGTTCCAGTACATGTCTGAAGAGGGCTTCTGTTTCTTGACCGATGACACTAATCATTTCTGAGTTAAGAAGTTTGTCAAAAAACTTTTTATTTACTGTGGCAGAAAAACGTGACATTAGCCAGCTCCTGTAAGCCAAGCTGGGTTTACTAATTTATAGTTATAATAGTTTAATACACTATTGCTATGGATTTACAGTAGCAGGCATATTTTACAAACTTTTGACAACTAAACTAAGGCAAAATCAACCAGTGATACAGCATTCTGATAAACCTTTCATCGTTTGTTTTTCATTTTACAAATGAGTTGAAATGGATTTTTCAGGAAAAACTTCTATATTTGGGCCAGTTAAGTATGTTTTAGAATAATATTTAAGTAAAATTGTAGGGCTGTAGAACCCCCTGTTATGTATGCAGTGTACGACATGTTTTTATTTGTAGCTAAGCAAGTGTTTTTCACAACTATCAAATGGCATGTGTTCTTCATTTAGTTTAATTTTGTCTAGTGTGCAAGGAAAATAATTTAGCTGGCCTTGTAACAAAAACAGCAGTCACAACAACGCTGAATTACAATGGCCATCACATGTGGCAGAGGCACCATATATCTGCAGTTATAAATCATTAAACCTGCTCTGCCTCCTCTTTGTAGTTTTTGACGGTTACAGTAGGAACTTATTAGACCCCATGGGCCAGCAATGGGCAACCATATCATCAGCTGTAAATAACTGCAGATAAAGAGCTGGCTTTCATTCTTTGAAGACTGTCATGCCTGAAGCTTTGTGAGCTGCACTCCCTGCCCTGATATTTGGCCTTTGTCTGTTGCAGTAGAGTCTGGTTTGAGTTGCACATCTCATTTTGGGGTGTATGTAGCACATGTTTATGCAGAGTGTTTAGACTTTTCACATTTATTTGTGGTACAGTGTATATGCTTGCAGTGGTTGTGTTTTTGTCATGTTTTGTGTGCATTTGGCAAGGTTCTTTTTTTATTGTGAGTATTAAATGTGTCCCCTGTCCGTCTATTCAGACCATCTGTCACCTTGCAGGGTCCCTCAGCTCCCCTTGCTGCTCTGTCCAAAAGAAAAATCCATTGGTAGTGCACATAGATTTTATTAAAATGCTTTCATTTTATAGTGACTTATTTGAACTTGGGGTAGTGGCTGCTGTGATAAGTGTGTTAATGTGCATCCATAGTGACTGTTTTGATAGAAGACCTTTTATTCGGTGTCTGTAAATGACTGTTGTTCCAAAGCAAATGGACCTTGTAGGGTGTATGTAGGTAGGGTGAGTCTCAGCATACTCGGTATTTGTCTTCATGTTGATCAAAGCCACAAGTGTGCTAAAACCTAGCTAGTGAATATTTTATCCATGCCTTGCTCAAATCTTAGTTCAGCTCAATGTGTCAGTCACAGCCATGTCAGTGAACCACCAATCCCCACCCGCAAACACCCAAATGTTCACTTACTTTGCAAATGGCAGCTTTAATGCCTAGCAGGCAGACGGTAAGCTCACGACGCAGCTGCTAATGGAGCCATTTTTTTCTATGTCTGAGGGCAACCAGAAAAACCCTGTAACAAAAAATAAATAAATAAATAAATAAAAGGGGGTCAGCGGAGCGGACAAGGGGAACTGGAGGGAGCTACCTACCGCTTTCATGCAAAGGCTTATAGCAGTGTCTTTCCTTTTTTCTGATCTGTTTCAGTTTGCATCATGAGCTAATTGGAATAATAAAAAATATATATATATTTTCTTTTGCTTAAAGCTCTAAAGATGCAAAGCTAAAGGAGTAAATGTTGCACTTCATATGCCAGGCAGCCCAAACCATGTAATTGTTGGATGCGTTAGTAACAACTGTCTGCTAACAGGTTCACCACATTAGCATAAAAGGTGATGATATCCAGTGTTTCCCCTAGAAGATTTTTCTGGCATGATGGCAAGAGGATGATAGCGGTTCTGTGCACATATGCTAAAATGTTTGGTTATTCATTTCTTGCGCAACACCAGACTTTTGGTTGGTAATTTCCATGTTAAGGTCACACAAAACAAAGAGTATTAATAAGATGTATTTATTGCACACAAATAACTGTCAAAGCTACCAGTTACTTCACAATCAAAAACGTTTGAACAGTTTTTAAGGAAAATAATTAAATGCGATAACAAACTTCACATAATGAAATACATCAAATAAAACCATAATATACCTTAAGTTGGTGCAAACTGCAATTTGAACTGCTCAGGAGTTTGAAATAAACTGCTCATTTGCTCATCATGAGCACAGTGTGCATTACTCATTGCTGCACTTAATTTTTCTTGGATTTAAAAAACAAGTTCCACCATGGCATCACTGTATGGAAAGTTCTCCCACAGCTCTGGGTCCCAGCCAGATG